GGGGCTCTGCGACGCACCGCTAATCCGGAGCGGTGGGAGGATGGGAGAAGGGCTGTGTATTATTGATGCTGAGCTGCACGCGGGGGGGTCGGAGCTGCTTCGCTCCCTCTGTGGGTTCTCAGCACGTGGACCCCATTGGGTGCGGCCCCCCCCGCTCCCACCCCGCACCTGCAGGTCGCGGCCCCAAAGCGCTGCCATCGGGGGGAGATGGGCAGGTGGGCACCGCGCTCTGGGCAGGAAGCGGGGGGCGGGGGGGGAGAAAAGGGGGAAGAGAAGCGTGGGAAGGCGAGTTCCCAAAGTTTGTTTTACCCCACCTCTCTTTCAGCCCCCCCCACCCCCACCCCGTGGTGCCGCTCCGTACCTGCGCGGGTGGCGGCGGATCCCTGAGCGCACAGCACCGCGCACAGCACCGCGCAGCGCAGCGCTCCGGCGCACGGGGGGGTCATGGCCCGGCCCGACCCGCTCCGTTCCGTTCGGTCCGGCGGCGGCGGCGGAGCTCCCTGGAGGGCTGAACGGAGCGGGGACGTCCGCACCCGCGGGGGGGGAGGGAGGGGAGGGGGGGCGGCCCCGCCTCGTTCTGCCCCGCCCCCCCCAGCCCCCTCCATTGGGCGGGGGGGGGGCCGTGGGAAAGCGGCGGCTGCGGGTCGGGCAGCGGGACGGTGCGCGCACGGAGCGCATTGCACACGCGTTGCACGCTCGTTGCACACTCATTGCACGCTCGTTGCACACCCCGCGCACCGCACGCACCACGTGCGCTGTGGATACGCGGAATGCCCGTCCTGCGTGCGCTGCGCGCTGCGTGGGCGCTGCACCTGCGCGCACATTGCGCGTTGTGAGCACTGAGCGGCTCCCCCCGCACCCCCCCGCACTGCCCCCTCCCACGGGATCCCGGGACGTGACCGGAGCCAGCGGGAGGGCGCCGTTCCGATGGGTTCCACTTGGGGGCTGCGAAAGGCCCCCTCCCCTCGAGGCAGCGCCGTCGGGGGGAACCTTCAGCACTGCGAATCCCACTCCCCGCCCCCCCGATCCTGGGGCGGTCCCGAAGGGGGGGTCACGCACCTCCTCCCCCCCCGCCCGCCGCCCTTCCCGCAGCCCCACGCCGGGTCTTTCCGGCGCTCCCGGTGATTAATTATTAAGGGCTCACGATGAAGGATGAAATAATTATTCCCGGCTCCCCCACGGAACCGCAACGGCTTTGGCAAAGATGTGGCGAGGAGAACCCGGGTCGTGAGGTGAGGGGCTGCGGGGGGGGGGGTGCGGGCGTGGGCTGGGTGTGGGGGGGAGGGGCGGGGGCTGTTTTTATGAATGGGCCGCTCCCGCCTCGCTGCGATTACGATGCGGCGTGCGCCCGCGCCGCATCTCGGAGCTCTGATTGGCTCCGCCGTGCTCTGACGTCACGGGGCTG